CGAGCGCGAGCACCTGTTGTCGATCCAGTTGTGCAGCTGCAGGAAGCCCAGCTGCGCGCGGCTCTCTTCCAGGCTCAGCCCCAGCTCCTGCACGTAGCCCCCGCTGTCGTACACGGCGCAGTAGCCCCAGGACCAGACCCTGCCGGCGAGGGGACGGCGTTAGAGCCAGGCCCCAGCCCTGGAAGAACCTGGGAGGCAAGGCTGGCTGGGGCTAGGGGGCGCCCGTGGAGAACAACCCCCCCCCTCCCCGCGTCCCGGATCCTCCCGGATCCCGGGGCCCTCCCTCTGTGCTCACCCCAGCAGGTCTGGCGCAGAGTAGGCCCACGTCTCGGAGCCGTTGTGGGCAGCACTGCCCCAGCCGATGCCATAGTCGCCTGTGCTGAAGGAGCCCGCGGCTGCCGCGCACATGGGCACACCCGGGCGAGCAGGGTCTGGGCAGAGTGCTGAAAGCAGAGGGGGAGTTCTTTGCCAGCTGGGCTCTACGGGATCCCACCAGACCCTCCCTGCAACCCAGAAGGCAGAGGTCACAGTGTCACAGACGGAGAAAGTAAGGGATGCACAGCTAGACAGCAGGAACCAGAATGCAGCCAGGGGTGTCTCTTTGGGAGAGAGCAAGGACGCAGTGCCAGGCCTCCCTCCACGGCTCACCTTCCTGCAGCCGCACCTGCCGCAGTCGCGGGGGCCCCAGCTCTGGGCTGGACTGGTTCCCATGGATGTAGGGGAGCAGGACGTGGGACATCCACGGCCAAAACTCCTCAGACCTGCTCACACAGACAGAGTCCCGTGTTCTACCCGGCAGTGCCCTGCACCCCTGGGGGCGGGGGTGGTCAGAGGCCCACAGAGCACTGCTCCTGCGGCCCCAGCCCAGCCAACAGCAGGCTGCCAGTGCCACGGGACGGGACGAGGTCAAGACCCAGAAGCCTCAAGCTCAGCATACTGACATTTGGAGCAGGAAGTGTTACGGGGCGGTTCTGGGTACTCTAAGATTATTTACTTATTTGTTTTGAGAGAGACACAGACAGCATGAGCGGGGTAGGGGTAGAGAACGAGGGAGACAGAATCCCAAGTAGGGTCCGCAATGTCAGGACGCAGTCTTGACGCGGGGCTTTCACCCCCGACACCGTGGGATCGTGACCTGCACCGAAACCAAGACTCTGACGCTCAACTGACCGGGCACCCCCAGGCGCCCCGGGACGTTTTGAACTGTGTCTCCAGTCCCGTGTTGCCAACACCACTTACTCCGGTCCTGACAACCCACGACAATCCAAGACGCTGCCCCACGTCCCCTGGGGACTGGGTTGCACCAAGGACAAGATCGAGATGGGATCTGGCGGGCACCAGTGCCTCCCCGGCCTGGCAGGTGGACACGCGCATGTGCACGGGGGTGCCTGTACCGGGTGATGGCCAGGAAGGCCTGGCTGCCGAGCTCCTGTTTGATGGCACTCTGCAGGCGGTAGGCATGGCTGTGGCAGGAAGCGTCCCCATGGTTGGCCAGCAGCGTCACCAGCAGGAAGAGCATGTATACCAGGAAGCTCTGGGGGCAGGGACGGCCCTGGGGTCAGCCAATCCCAGCGTGGCCCACCGTCACGGCACTGGCCAGCAAGGCGACCGTGGCCAAGGTGCCTGGTGCCAGTGGGGCGGCACAGACACCCGCCAGCATCCCGCCAGAGGGATGGACAGGTGGTCCCTCCAAAGGCAGAGAAGATGGCCCCTAGGGCCCGCAAGGCTGCTCATCGAGCCGGGCACGGGAAGAGGCACAGCAGGGCACAGGCACCGGGAGCTGGGGGCGAGGGGGGCGGGGGCGGGGGCGAGAGGGCCACAGGGCGCACGCGCGGGGTCTCCGAGGGAGAACCTGCAAGAAGGTGCGGTTTCGGCCAGACACGGGACAGGAGAGCGGCTCACCCTCAGCATCCCGTGCAGCTTCTTGACCTTTCGGGCCTCTTCCTTCGCCAGGAAGAGCGCAAAGCCGTGTGGGGGCCGCACACGGGGCACACGCTCACTCACAGGGGTCACAGCCGGGCTCTCCACCAGGGTGTCGTCCTCGTCGGGGTGCAGCCGCTTGGCCACCAGGGAGAAGTACAGGGCCTCCAGCAGGACCTGGGCCAAGGGAGGCATCAGAGGGGCCCACAGGTGCCAGGGGCTGGCAGCCCGGCCCCCCAACGTCCCACTCACCTTGAGCGGCTCCCAGCCGAAGAAGGAGGCCAAGAAGCTGGAGCTGCTCGAGAGGAGCCACATCACACCCACACCAGGGGAGAAGCCGGCACCCACCCAGCCGGAGACCCCCACAGCCACAGCCACCAAGAGCAGGCTGAGTCCGTGGGCCAGGGGAGCACACCAGGCTGGCAGCAGCCGCCTCCGCAGACCGTCCACCAGTCCTGGGGAGGAAGACAGGTGACGGGCAGCCCACGGGGAGGGGCCCGGAGGGGCGTCCTGGGGACACGAGAGCACACCTGTCCTGGCGGGCTTTGCTGACTGGGGCCGCTCCCAGGTCAGACCCGGGCTGGGCAGCCCCCTGTCCCCCAGCCTCTGCAGCATCAGCGTCTCCGTCCTCTCCGCAGGAGCGCTGGACCTGAGGCACAGAAAGGGGGGGGGGGGCGTAGCCCGCGCTCAGCTGTCGGCCGACAGCACGACGTCCCTGAGCCCCCATACCCCTGCACCCCGCCCCCGTGTCAGCCGAGAGAAGACATTGCCCCAAACCCGGGTAGATACAGCGCTGGGGCTCAGACCACCACCGGTGACTCTGGGAAGGGCCCCTGATGCCTGCCCTGCCCCTCAGGCCGAAAACCCACGTCAGCCTCCGCTGCCGTCTCCCCCTTGCTCGCTGCTCCTCCACCCACGGACAGAGTCCTCTCCCATCGTCACCCCAGCAGCGGTGGCTCGCAGCATGGCTGAAGCGGCCCCAAGGCTCCGGGTTCGCGTCGCGACCTTCCGGGGCGCACCCCGCACACCTCGCATCTTCGCCCCCAACCTCCCCACGCAGACCCACGTTTCACAAAGAGACCGCGCGCTGACGCAGCTTTGTGACCCAAGATGCAACTCTTGAACAAGGAAACACCTTTGTCTCAAAATTCCGACAGTATCTAGGGTTCCCGGGGCCGAGAGAAGTGTGTGTGGCCCACGGCGCTACACCGACCTGGCCGGCTGCACAGCTGCCCCACCAAGGAACGGGGGCTCCGGGGGCGGGGGGATGTGAAACAAGGGTGTGACAGGCACTTCCTGAGGGCCAAGTGCGCGCCTGGCGGGGGGGCCTGCACAGCTGTGCCCTGACTACACAGAACAGGCCCCCCTCCCCCGCTCCCAGCAGGTGCCTGCCATGAGCTGCGCTGAACGCGCCCGGGTTTGTGAGCCTTCGACAGAGTAAGAAGTATCGTTTATGCGGGTGGGAAGTCAGGACAGCAAGCAAACTTTTTCTGGAGATGGACTAGAGAACAGGTGCTCCATATCCTCATTAGGCAGGAGCAGCGGCATTCCTGTTCTTTCTAGGGCTTTCTCCGGACGCCCACGTTCATGTTTTACATGTGGATGTGGTGTCAGGGCAGGTGGCATAGCGGATATGGCCTAAAATACACGCGGCTTCACCAAACACCAAGCCGCAGGAGACCAAAGCCTGCCTGTCACGGGCCAGCACCCCGGGTCCCCGGCCGAGGCCGGCACCGTTCTGGCCCCGAGTGAAAGGAGCCAAGGCCACGCACGCTGCTGGGGGGGAGCGTGCAGGCAAGACACCCGGAGGCAGGGAGGACAGAGAGGAGGTCCCCATCACTACGCCCTCATGCATTGGCAGGCAGGAAGGCCCCAGCCAGGGAGCAGCCGCACCAAGAACGGCAGGAAGGAGACCTGGGGCTCTTGTCTTGGGGAGGATGCCTCTAGGCAGAAGGGGGGCAGAAGACAGCACAGATGAAGGCAGAAAAGGAGGGAAGCAGTCGACGGAGGCGGCAGGGCCAGCTCACGCAGCTGCTGGAGCGTCGTAAGGCGAGCCGCCTCCGAGGGACACTTCCCCCCTCCCGCCACTTCCGCGGGCAAGGACACAGTGGACTGACAGGGCTGGGTCGTAAAGGACTCTGTGGTTCCTGCTCTGCTTGGGCCACGCGCTCTGAGGTGTCGGCCGTCATGCCGTGAGGGCACTCAAGCCAGCCAGGGTGAGGGTCAGATGGGGACAACCACCAACCTGCCTGCCGTCTGGCTCCCTTGAAGCACAGAGTTTTGGGGTAACCGGTCACACGGCGACAGAGGGCCGGTGCCCTAGGAGAGCAGCGGCAGGGCCTGCTTCGGGGAGCAGGACTCCGCCGAGGGGGACGTTTGGACGCAGGCGCAAGAGCAAACAGGAGGGTCAGACTCGGGACCGGAAGGGCAGCGTGGCAGGTGTGCGTGAGGAAGGACGCCGAGAGAGGAGTCGGGAGTCAATGAAAACTTGTGGTGGCCGGAGCGCGCACCGGGCCGGTTCTGAGACCGGGACCGGGGGGGGGGGGAGGGGGGGGCGGGGCGCAGCGTCTCTGGAGGGGGGCCTGGGCCCTGCGGGGCGGGCAGCTCCGCGCAGGCCAGTGAACGTCCGCGGGGCCCGTTCGCGCAGTCAGCCCAAGGCCTGAACCTGGACTTGAGGAAGGGCTGTGGGCTGGAGCTATCTGGGGCTGCCGTCCCAGGATCTCCCCATAGTATAGACCTTCTGAATCAATTTCCAATTTCTTCGTAACAGGCTATCATGCCATGGTTACCTGTGTTTGTAAAACGACTCGAGAGCCCCCCCCCCCACCCCGCCCCGTTCCCTGTGCTCAGGACGGTTCATGTGTGTTATCTTTGGTGCTTGAAAACGACAAGAGTCAAAAGGAGCAGAAATGTGATTATTGGAGGAAAAAAGGAAATAAGAGATAGTTTTATACGAATCGTCCATCTCAGAAGTGGAGAGATTCTTAAAAACATAAAATTGAGACAATCTCAAAAGAAAACAAGCGGGATGTTTGGAAAACCTGGTCCTGAGCACCCCATCACCCCACACCTCCGCCACCTGTGGGGAATGCTTGCCACCCTGTGAGGTCCTTTCAATAGGTAAGGGGCCCAGCCCCGCACAAGGCCAGTCCCAGGTGGGGAGCGGGGCTTCTTGGCCTGGGATCCCCGCCGCCCCCCCAACCCCCGGGAGCCAGGGACTTACAGGCCAGCGAGCAGATCCGTTTCTACTTGCACGTCCCGGGCAGGGGCCAGGCTGCCGGCCCCTTCAGCCACGATCCGCCGGATGAGGTCCTCGTCTAGAGAGAAAACACGTCAGTGAGGGCATGGTTTCTCCCACCCCCAGGTTCTTCAGAACCTTCCCGGGGATCGCGTGGGGATACCACCCTCCCCACCCCTGCTCACCCGAAGCTGAGAAGGACTTGGCAGGTGAGGAGGGGCTGACCAGGGAGAGCCCGTCCTCCTCCGGGCCCAGGCGGCCCCGTGCCAGCCGCTGCAGGGTGCTGCCCACGATGGATGGGTCATTCAGCAGGTCCGGCCAATTCAGCGTGCCTTCACTGGACGGCCAGCACACCAGGCTGTAGGTGACACAGGTGAAACAAGGGGGGCCCAGGGGGACACACGTACAACACGGCCCTAGAGCGTGTGTGACGACAATACCCGGAGCCAGGGGACAAAACGCACGCAGCGCAGACACCCATAATGCACCACGCACGAGGTGTGGCGGACCCACGCCAAGGCTCACGCTCTCTCTGGGGACTCCTACCTTTTGCAATCATCCAAAAATAAGTCACTTTTCATTTGTCCGGCAAAGGCCTGTTGAGAAGCACAGAGAACACCTCAGGTTCTGAGCTGCTCAGAGGCAGCGGGACCCACCCAGCCCGGGCAGGGCCCCGGGGGGGGGGGGGGCACACTCGCCTCAGCGCGGAGCCCCGGGAAGGCCAGGAAGGAGCTGTCCAGCACAGACGAGTCCAGGTAGCTGTCGATGTCCAGGACCGGCTGCCCCGCGGGGGTGGGGCTCGGGCCCCCAGCCACCTAGGGGAGAGGCAGGCATTCAGCAGAGGTGTGCCACCTCCGGAGCAGGCAGAGCCTGGGCTGGGGCTGTGCTAGAGAATGTTCTAGAATCGGGCACACGTTCTGTATCTGCACTGTCCATCACGGTAGCCACAGGCCGCTCACGGCACTGGAATGCAGCTGGCAGAGCTGAGGACTCCAGTTTTGTCATCGACTCGAACCAGCCGTGGTGGTGGCGGATTACCCCACGGGACCCCTGGCGCACACGCCCCCAGGGTATGGCGGTGGGTCCCTCCTGAGGGAAGTGCTCTGTCCTTCCCTCATCTCGTGCCGTCCCCATCAGATCGGACGGGAAGCGCCTGCTCCTTGTCTCTCTGAGCCTGTGAGGCACTGGCCCTTCGGCAGGTGCACGGGAGCCACCAGGGAGGCCGTTTGGGCTCTTCCTTGTCAGAGGGTTTAAATCGCCACTCTGGCCTCTTGCTAGAGATCTGCTCAGGTTTGCGACATCCTCCCGAGTCTTTCCGGGACCCTGCCCGTCTCCCCTCAGTCACCTGACAGGCTGGTCCACAGCGGTCACGGGAACCCCCACAATCCCGCACCAGCCCGATTTCCGTGGCATCAGAAGTGGGGCCCCGTTGGTTCATTCGTGATCTGGACAATCTGCATCTCTCTGTCTCCCTGCGTCAGTCGTCTCGACCTTCTGCCCTTCCCTCCGGCCACCCTTGGCGGCAGCAATGAGGCCCACGCTCTGTCCTCTGGAAGCTCCCCGGGCCCCAGCCCACCTTGCTCCGGGACATCCGGAAGAGAAACAGAATGACCAGGTAGACGGGATAGACGACCACACTGGACACCAGGCCGACGGCAACTGTGTCGGCACTCAGCGGGATCAGACCGGACACGGGCCCCGCGCTGTGTGGCAGGACAGGAGAAAGACCCGGGCTGGGGGAGGCTGTGTGGGGTAGGAGGGGTCGGGCAGGAGGAGATCATCGGGCCCCCCACGGGCACCCACCTGTAGGCGGCGTCTCCCACGACCCCGTACCACACAGCATTGGCGCCCAGGAAGAGGCAGACGAGGAGGACGCAACAGGTGGCCCGCTGGACGCGGGTGAAGCGGCTCCGAGGTGGCCGGTCCCAGAGGGAGAGCCAGAGATGCTTGTCAAAAAAGCCACGCTGCAGCTCGGCCACCAGGAGGCGCCGGAACCGCCGCACAGCCGCGTCGCCTGCAGAAAGGGCACAGCTGGCTTCAGGAGGCCAGCGGCACAGGCCACCCCTCGGCCAGCCCGGGCAGGGACGGGCCCAGGCCCTTACTTGCTGCCAGCACCTCCTTCTCCACGAGGCCGCCATTGGCCTCAGTCTCCACCGACAGCCAGTCGTTGACCAGGAAGAAGGTGCTGCAGGCGGTCTGCAGGTCCCGGACGATGATGTGCTGCAGGAACCAGGCGGGGCTGAGCCCTGCAGGGGAGGGGCGGTGAGTCAGGCTGAAGGGCACCGGTGGGGTGCCGGAGGGGCAGCCGCGGGCGCCCCCACAGACCTTTGTTGTCGTGCCACACACGGATCTTCCGCACGCTGCCCAGGCTGTGCGGCGTGGCGATCTGGAACACGTCCAGGCTGTTGCGGCGGAAGGCCCTGTCCCCATCCAGGTGCCGGTGGCCGCTGCGGCCCTCAGCCCCGTACAGCATGATGCCCACGTGTGCTGTGGTTCCTGGAGGATGGACAGAGAGGCAGCGGGGCTGGGTACGTGACCCCGGGCGGACCTTCCTACGTGCCAGACACGCAGCCGCCAACGACACGGTGCAGCAGGCGGGGCGCCAGATTAACCGAGCGACTACGTGAGACACAGTCGGCCCCACCTCCCTGTGATACCATATGCACGTGATGTTTTACAAAAACAGGGATTGGCCGGTGAGGGTAAGAGCACAGCGAGGAGGAGAAAAGTGGTAACGTGGGAGAGACGTTCAGAACGACGGTCACCAGTCAGGTCGACACTGGCCGAGGCCACGACACCAAACTCGCCAACGTAGGCAGACAGGGACCACGAGAGAAAGAACAAAGATGTCACAGAGCAACCCACGTGAGCGGTCAGAGGGGTGTCACGGAGCAGGAGGGCCAGCGAGGACAAGTGGGGGGGGGG